CTAATCTGTGGTTCAGGTGACAGATAAAGGGGCAAAAGCTGGCAGTGAGCTTACCAACTTGCTGGGCGCCCGCCACCTGGGGCATCAAAACACAGAGTCCTGACACCACTTTGTTGCGCAACAGCCGCAGGTGTACAGCACCAACTGCTTTGCTGCTTGATGGCACATGCCCTTTCATTGCACGCGTGTCGCGACACCCGTTGCTGGCACACATTCAACCATCATACATCATGTATCAAACCAATGGTCTGCTCTCTGCATTTTATTTGTTGACGTACTGCATCATGTCGCATACGTCGTCACATTGCCAGTCTCACCACCAAGTGAGTTTGCTCGGAATGTGGGCAAGCGGAATGTGGGCGAACAGGGGTGTTGCCTGGGTGCTGACAATATGCTTGTGTTATAGCAGTTGTTGATACCAGCAGATCCCCCAGCAATAACACATCAGGGCCTGGTAGGGACAGAAATAGGATGCCAAGACGGTGCTGTGGCGACAAGGGCGACTGCACTCACCCGCTGGGCGACGAGCATACATGAATACAGGGGTGCATACTGTACATTGACCGCGCCATGGCACTTGTGCCGGCCCGCCCGACATCAAACATCTTACGTAGTCCGTTTCACATACACGTTCTTTGGTTAACTCAGCTCGTCATCACTGATCTGAGAGGACAAAGCCAATGAGCTTGTGGAACGCGCTGGGTTTGGGGCCCGGCGACGAGGTGCGTGTTTAGAAAGCGATGTCGTGCCTTGCTGCGCAATCTTGATGCTCAGTGCTCCTCGTTGCTGCCCAGGGAGGCAAAACAAAGGACGCAGGTGTTGCCAGGTACGTGTGCGAACGCGGAAGCGCACCCTCAATGATATTCAGTTTGGTGCGATACATAATGCATCTGATTGTGGCCGGACATGTGGGGTACGACGCGGCCCCGCCTCGTCTCCCACCTGCTCGCCACGCGTGCCTCACGCACACAAACGCTGCTGGTTGGAGCGCCACCGCTCCCTGCATCCCATCCCTCCTGCGCAGGACCGACGGGGAGGGTGGCTCGCGCCGTGCCCAAGAAGCCCAGCCCGCGATCGGCCTCGGCAGCATATGGAGTGCTGCGAACGCCGCAGCCGCGGCTGTGCGCGCGACCGCGACTGACGTCGTGCGCAGCGTGCAGGAGACGGACTGGAAGAACGAGCTCGCGGCCTTCGGCGCCGAGGTGGCGCACGACGCAGAAAAGGTGACGTCAGAAGTCGGTCACAAAGCCCAGGCGCTCGGCCATAGGGCCAAGGAAGCCGTCCAGCACCTGCCAGAGGCCCTCGAGCTCGCTGCGGCGCCCGACAGCGACAGCGGCGGCGGCCGCGGGAGCGGCGGCGGCAGCGGGGCAGGCGCGGCGGGGCTGGGGGCCGTGGGGGCGTCGATTTCAAAGCTGGGGTTGAGCATCATCAGCGGCGCGAAGGGCGTCGTCGACCAGGTGGGCTGCGCTGCTCGCTGCGGGCGGCAGGGGCAGTGTGGGGCAGGGCTGTCGCCCCCGCGGCGCACGCGTGGGGCCCCTGGTTTCGATGGAAGCTATAGTGGCGGCGCCGGTGCTGGCGACCGGCTGCGTCTTGGTTGGGTGCGCGAGCCCGAACCTGCGGGTGCACTGGCGACCTGTGCAGCTGGGCACACAGAGCAGCTGGGCACCAAAATCAGCTGGGCCAATGCCAGCTCCCACTTGGGTTCCTGCAGCCTGGCCCCTGGGTAGTCTCCCACATTGCCCAAGCTCCATCAAGAGCGCATCACTTGCCAACCCTGACGAGCAGGTGACTGATTTAGTGGAGGGCGAGCTGTCGCCGGGCCCCTCCGACGCAAAGCGCGCCGCCAGCGGCCGCTCGCTGTCCGCGGCGCGCGGCGAGCCGGGCCTGCCGCGCGTCGCGTCGCAGGGTGCCAAGTACTCGCGTTTCGAGGCGGAGGTGGGCTAGCATGGGAGCGACGAAGAGGGCGGGAGGCCTTTGCCATCGACAAAACAACAGCGGCAACCGCACAGCCGATGCCTAGATCCGCTTTCGTTCATAGGGAATCGAGGGCCTTTGGTTCCTGAGGATACTAACGCCTTCTGGCGAAGGCTGCCCCGAGGTTGCTGTTGCCCAGCGGCCTGCTTCATGCACCCATGCCTCACCATAGCTTCAGCTTTTAAGGATCACACCCGGCCATGAGAAACCCTGCACATTAAGACGCTCTGCGTGGGGCCCACACCTCCACTAAGCGCCTGACCCCCCACCTTGATACCCACCCGTGCAGCTTGCAGCCATGCAGCGCGACAGCAGCACGTACTGCGACGCGCCGCCCGACGCTGCGGACTACGCCGCCTGGCTCGGCGCGTTTAACCTCGCCTCCGAGGAGGGCCGCGCGTCGTCGCTGCTGGCGGAGAGCGCCATCGTGTCGGAGCTGCACGCGCGGCTGGTGCCGCTGCTGGTGGCGCGGGAGGAGTTTTGGGCGCGCTACTTCTACAGGTGCGCGCCGCGCTGCGCACGCCTGGGTCTGCGAGCGTTTGCAGCGTGCCCTAGCGTTTTTGCACGTGACTGCGCGCTCCCTGTCTGCCATTGCGCCCCTAACCTTGGACTTTCTTCCCCAAGCCCGCCACCACCCCCACTCCCACTCCCTGCTCGACCCGAATCCACTCACCCACGAAGGCTTCAGAAGCTGCAGCAGCGGGAGGAGCAGCGGCAGCAGCTGGCGGCACGCGCCAAGCAGCAGGTGCAGGCAGACGACGAGCAGATAGGGTGGGATGACGACCCTGCCTCCCCGCGCGCGCCCGCCGTCACCTCCGCAGCCGCAGCCGCTGCGGCGCCCGAGGCGAAGGCAGCCGTCGAGATTACGGCGCCGGCGAGGCTGGCAGACGCGGGGCCGGCGCTGGCAGCGCTGGCGAAACGGGAGGGCGGCAGCTCTGAGGTCGAGCAGCTGGATCGGGAAGCGGCTGCTGCGCCGCCACGGCGTTCAGAAATCGAGGCCACCCCTTTGCCGGCGCAGCCCGCGTCGGCGGCCGCGGCCGAGCCTGTCGCCGCGCCGGCTCCCGGGCCGCTGCCGCCGCCAGCCCCCGCTGCCGGCACTCTGGCGGGGCCCGCGCACGCCGCGATTGCCAAGGCAGCAGCAGCGGCTGCGCCCCTCAGCGCGAGCAGCGGCTTCAGCACGCCGGTGCGCGTCGCGTCGGACGGCGAGGAGTCGGCCGCGGCAGAGGGCGGGCTCCTGCTGGACAGCGCGAGCGACGGGAGCGCCGCTGTGTCCGGCCACCAGCGGGGCTGGGCGGTGGTGTCGGGCGGTGCGAAGGTCAAGGGGTCGCCGGTGCCTGAGGAGCCCGAGGCGTGGGAGGCGTCGGAGGGCGGGGCGGCGGCCAGCCCGCCCGTTGCGGCGGCCGCGGAGGGCGACGGGGAGCGGGCGGCGCAGGCGGGGGCGCAGCGAGGCTCCGCCGGCGGGGTGGCCGCGTCGGCGGCGCAGGCACAGGAGAGCGTAGACGACGAGATCAGCTGGGGGGACGAAGAAGAGCGGGCGCCGGGCGCTGGTGGAGGCGCGGCGGCGGCGCAGCTTGCGCAGGTCCAGGCGGCTGGGGACGACAATGGATGGAGCGACGACTGGGAGTAGCAGGTTGCATAAGAGGGGTGCCAATTGGGAGTAGCGGTTCGCATAGGAACCAAGACCCTACAGGTGTCAGGCCGAGTTGCTTTCTGGCGTGCACTTGATCTTTGTCCTTTGGAGGCCGCCGAGCTGCATGGTCCAGCCGTCGCTCACCGGGGTGACACCCATGTGCCCGCCCTCGCCAGTGTCGGCGTGACCTCGCGCCGCGGTTGTACATCAGCATCCTTACACCCTGCAGACCGCTTTTCCAGCGCACCCCTGCCTGTATTGTTCACAAGTTCGCAAGGGCCGATTCTGCCATGCAGCACACAGCGACTGCGCCCACGCGCGCTAGCGTAGTGAAGCCTATACCTTGTCGTGTAAGGGTGAGCGCGTCGAGCTACGCTTCGCTTGCCCCCTTCTCCCGTGATCTGGCCGAAAAGAAACGTGGCGACCGAAACCCTCGCAGGTATCACGCAGCTGCCGGCGTTTGTGTGTAAGTACTATGGTGAGCCCGCATCGCCAGCAATGAGATCAGGAGTGATAGGCGCGCCACAACGCCATACCTCCGCTGCCGCCAGCGGCGGCAGAGCATGTGCTGCCGCGTGCAACGGCTCATGCCCACGAGGCCGCCAGCAGAACATAACTGCATTGCGTTTTGCAAATAGCAAGGTCCCTTTCCACACCATTGGGCCGTTTGAATTGGAGTAGCAGGGCGGTGGCGTCCCCGATCATTCTCGTGCAAGGTGGTCCCAGGAGCCTGGCAACTGCTGAGCACGATGGAAATCACGTGCGGCAGCCCGAGCAGAACGGCCACCCTCAGCACCACCCCCCGCGAGGCCCCACGCCCCGCACCCCGCCGCCCCGCGCGCAGGCGGCCGCGGCGACCGAGCCCGAAGCGGGCACGAAGAAGCTGTGGGGCGGCCGCTTCACCGGGAAGACCGACCCCCTCATGGAGAAGTTCAACGAGTCGCTGCCCGTGGACAAGCGCATGTGGGCCGAGGACATCCAGGTGCGAGGCGCGGCTGGGGCGCTGGGGGGCTGCGGTTGGGGTCGGGGTAACCTTGAAGCCAGCGAATCCATGGGGATGGCATGGTCCCAAGTTATTTGAGTCCATGAAAGGGCGCGGGCTGCCAGGCTTCAAGATGAGAGGCAGCTGCGGCAGACGAGCTCTCGCTTTGGGCTCGAACCGCTTTGCTCCCTCCCTCCCGCGCGAGCCCATCGTCTCGGCGGGGCCGACGTCAACCGCGGCCAACCGCCGTCGACAACCGCCCACAAACGGCGGCGGCCGCAGGGCAGCCAGGCGTACGCCAAGGCGCTGGCGAAGGCGGGGATCCTGACCCAGGAGGAGGCCAAATCAATCGTGGAGGGCCTGGACACGGTGGGCCCCGGGATGGTTACACTTTTTGGGCGCGTGGTGTTGGTGTTGGTGTTGGTGTTGTTGATGGTGTTGTTGTTGGGGCGCGAGGCGGGGGTGACCACGGTTCAGGTGGGTGGTTGTGCAGATGAAAGCGGGGCGGGAGCGTGCCGTCGCCCCTGCAATGGGTAGCGGCTGGAGCAGCTTGGAGCTCAAAGGGCGGACGGGCAGTGGCTTCCCAGTTTCGGCATGAGGGGGGGGTGACGTCATGCACGCCCAGCCTGAAGGCGGGCGGCCGCGACAGGGTGGCCTCAGAAGATCGGCCCCGTCGCTCGTGGCGCGCCGCTGCTCGCAGGTGGCCGCCGAGTGGCGCGCGGGCGAGTTTGTCATCAAGGCGGGCGACGAGGACATCCACACTGCGAATGAGCGGCGGCTGACGGAGCTGATCGGGGCAGCTGGCGGGAAGCTGCACACGGGGCGCAGCCGCAACGACCAGGTGGCGACGGACACGCGGCTGTGGCTGTACAACGAGCTGCAGGTGTGCTGGTTGTGACAGGTGTTGATTTTTGCGAGGAGTATCCCTCGGGCTGGTACTTGGAAGTTGAAGCGGTGGTTAATGATCAGGCGGGGGCTGGAAGCTGGTCATATCGTATCTCTTTCAGGTAGACGCTTTCGCAGTTGCTATCCACTGTTCCACGTTTTTGCTTAAACTCCATCTTGTGCATGCTGGCCCCTCGATCCTTTGCTACACCCCTTGCACAGCACGCGCGACACACTCACGACGACGCGCCCCAACTCACTGACGCACACCAGCACACCACGCCACACCCCACCACACCACACAACACCACACCCCACCACACCACACCACAC